CTCGTTACGGACATTGTAATTTTACTGTTTTGAAGAACTAACTCACATTTCCACACAGGCTGCACCATTTTCCACACTCACCAGCAGTTTGTCCAGTTTCCCCAACGCACGTTCTAGATTTTGTGACAGTGGCCATCATTGTGGGGGTCAGGGGGTGTCTAGTGGGTGGTGGTTCTTTTTTTTTTTTTTTTTTTGCATTTCCCTCCTGACTAATGGTGCAAAGCATCTTCCCACATGTTTATGGACCATTTGTGTAGCATGTTCGTCGAAATGTTTGCTGGACTTTTCGTAGGTTTCACTTTGTTATTTTTCCCAGTTGTAGATGGCCCCTTCACTTACTTGACCAAGTCCTTTGATACCCAAGATTTTAAATTTTTCTTTCTTTTTTTTTTTTTTTTTCCGTGCTTGTGGTGTCGTAGCTAAGAATCTGTAAATATCGTTTGTAATTTCAACATCGGTGGAAAATGGAGTACCTTTTGGTTTTTTTTTCGTTCAAAATAGGTATTATTAAAATACTACCTTTCTGGACTGGTTTCATCCTTGGAGATGTAACTGGTCACACAGTGGCTTCAAGTGAAATTCAAACCTTCATTTAAAACTACTGAATTTGACTAGTTTTGACTCTATGCATTACTCCTCAGCTAAGACTGCCCTATCCACTTACATTCCCTAAGGGTCTAATTCAGGGCAGAACTGTGTCCTTCCTTTCCTGTAGCTTGAAGATTCAGAAACAGGAATGGAACCGGGTTCAGAGGTAACAGTTGGATTTTTTCTGGTCAGAAGGAGACAACCTGGAGGTTGAGATTCAAGCTCCTGGTATCAGTGGGGTCAGACACCAAACCCTTCCCTTTGTCCATCTGCAGCACATAAAAGTGTGTGGCTCCTAATATTTCCAAACACAGCTTTTAAAATCTCACCTGAACAAACCTGCTTCTCACCTGGTTTTCCCATCCAGTAAGTGGCATCAGGTTCCACTCATTAGATTCGGGGAAAGAGTTGAAGCTCCTGCGACAGCTCTCTTTCGAAAGCAGCCTCTGAGCTTCCCTCTCCTTTTTCTCTTAGCACAAGAAGGTTTGATCTCCACCCAGTAGCAGGAGGGAAGTTTCAACAATGTAAAACAGTAAGCTGGCAGTGACACAGAATAAAATCCACCTATCTTTCTGTTGGCCAACAAGATCCTATATGTTCTGGTTTATGTATAGGTATCTGAGTTAAATTTATAACACCCTTGTGTTATGTAGGCTGTTGACACATTTTTTAAATATATCAAAACTTTACTACCTTTGTAGGCTATGCACTAAGTATTTCTTTTGAAAACTTTTTAACTATAGGAATTCAGCAATGCCTATAATTCAGGTCTCACTTTGAATGTCACCTCCTAAGAGAGTAGCCCTCCTGAGCCCTCAGATATTACTACTCATTTCTTTAAATACCATTAGTTTCTAGAATGAGGTAATTCCAATTTTTGTTAACGTTAACCATCATATTACACAAGCAAATTGGTTGCCTCTCATCCTCTGGAATAAGTGAATTCTTCCATCTGGTTTTTGACAGAAAGAAGCCTCCCGCAGAGCTGTAGGAAGGGTCCAGGTGTGTCCTCCTGAGGCTGGCACCTGTCCTGCCTTTGGTGCAAATGCCTTTAGGTGGATCATTGCCCTGAGCCTGGGAGGAAGCCAAAAACTCATCAGTCCCTGGGAATTCAACAGTGTCCTTCTCCCCCCGACCCCATCCTTCTTCCATTTCAGGTCTTCCGTGTGGGGCAGGAAGAAGGTGTCCAGTGCAGGTATCTTGGGAAGTAAGGCAACCATTGTCCACATCCCTGAATCCCAAAGAAGGATTTCAGCTGCTCTGTTTGGAGTGTGGACCAAACTTTATTTATCTGCCTCTAAGCTTCCCAGCGCTCTGTTTCCATTGCTGTCCTCTTCCTGACGTGGCTTCTTGGACTTGGAGATGATAACTCCCTTAGACCTGTAGAAGGTGGAGCCAGAAAATGGTGAGTTCTAGGGAGAAGTGGGTTTTTGTTACCCAAAGTGTGTGAGGTTGGGCATGAGTTGGAATAGCAAGAGCTACACGTTGGAGAGCTGTGTGTAGCAAGACTGTTTTCCTCTAAAGGAAAGGGTGGCAGAGGAGGACCCAGGACTGATCTTTTTGAGGTTTCCTGTAGCCCTGCTTCATTGTCACGGGCCCTTTTTCCTATATATCTGTAATATTTCATGATTTGGATGCCTGGGGTCACCTTCCTAATGTGACTTTCAGAGCTGAAGCCATGGGGCCTTGGTGCTCTGTGTGAATGACAGCGTCTGCTGATCGGAGCTTGACGACCGAACAGCTCTGGCTGTGGACGCTGAGTCTCAACCCTTGAGAGCCTTCCTTGTCCAATGTCTGTTGCCAGTTTTCTTGACTTCCTTCGACACTGGAGCATTTTCTATGCCATTGTATCACCGCAGCTTGGCCTCTCACGCTGTTATGGCCTAGAAAAGGAGGAGTGTATAGGGAAGGCCGTGAGTGTTTATAGAATCCTGGCTGCTGTTGGTGCTCTCCTGATGTCACCATAAGTATGAAGCTGGGCACAGGGATTCCAGGTGGGTCATCTGTGGGATCTTCACCCACATTTTTATTCACCCTGGTGGGAAATACTTACGTCCTGAGCCTTTCAGCTGTGCAGAAAGCATGAATTCCCAGTCTAGGTCCTTTTCGTCCCAACTATGCCTTAAGGTGATATTTAATCCCTGTAAATTTTGATTGTTCCCCATGGTCTGGAATTAGAATCTAAAATGAAAGAGTTTTCCTTTGCTAAAAAGCTCAACTTATGAGTTGTGTGGATTGAACTTCTTGGGTTCCCAGTTTCCACCAGAAGGTATTTTCTAGATCATTTGGTATATTTCTACTGAGAATTTTTCAATTTGATGGATAGAAACTCTTAAGTGCAGAGGAATACCTGTGTTAACTGATGTCATGGTTACTCTAAAGCTTACTTAGATCTGCAGAAGGGTCTTGCAGACTCCCGTTACATCGAGCAAGTCCTGACAGAATGCTAACGTGTTCAGTATTATAGGCATTGTAGAAACAGTGGCTGAAATATCCTGGATGCATAGACTTGGATGTACCTGGTGACTGTGTTTAGAGAGAGCTTGAATTTGTACTGCTGTGATTTGTACAAGGGTATTAGACTTTTTAATAATGGTTAGATGCTAAATGATTAAGTCTTCAATGTGTTTATTGTTTGAACATTGAATTCCTACTGATACACTTAATATATCGATTGCCTTACATCCTGTTTAAAAATAAATGTAGTTTATTGAAATTATGTTTTTCCTACTAATACTATTTTCAAAGCGAAACTTCGTATGAACTCTACAAGTGTACTTTGTGAAGACTTTTTTTTGCTCTTATCCTCATCCAGCCCCTCCCTCATCCTCCAGGTGCCTTTAAATAACCAGCCTTCTGAACCATACTGCCACAGTTGATCTGGAAGGGAGGGAATGGAAGTAGATGTATTTTATTTCACCTAGTTGTGGTGTAGTAGTTAAGGTATTGGCTGCTAAGCAAAAGGTCACCAGTTTAAACCTACCAGTCACTCTGAAGAAGGAAGATGGGATGATTAAGATTTACAGCCTCAGAAACCCTTTGGGGATTGCTGTGAGTTAGAATTGACTTGATGACAGTGAGTTTGGTTTTTGTGGTTTTAGTTTGTCACACAACAGGCAGATGGAATGTACCCTCACTTTTGAATGAAGAAACTCTCCTGGTGATCATTTCGTAAGAGCACGTCAAAGGCTGATAAAACAATTCATATAAAACTCCAGAATAATAAGTTTGACCTAATGTTTTTGTTATTGTTTTTACCTGTGTCGTCATGATGGGACACTTGGATCGTGGTCCTTAATTTTGCTTGTACGTGATTTGTTCAAGTCAATATGTTAATTTCTACGATCTGAGTATTTATAGTTTAAAAGTCCTTCTGAAGCAAATAAAATGAAAATGAAGGGGTTTTCACATGACTTTTTATGATTAATATATGAAAGTGACAGTTCCTTTGTATTTTAAATAATACTGTGAACTGTCAGTTTTCAATGTTGCATAGTAAGTAAAACAAAGGTAAACATCATGTGGTATTCTTTAATTTCAGCCAAGATCTATCTGATGTCAGCAATGATAACCCTCATTCTACCTCCTGTTCTGAATCTGGCTTAAATTTCTTGCAGTCCCCTGTCAGTATACTGATGTAACCGTTTATGAATTATCTTCAGCAAGATTTTACTTGCTGGTTTAATTGTGTGGGACTTCAGTCCTCCATGGTTGTGAGGGGCAATAGTGAACACTGCCTCCTGCAGTGCTTTCCAGGTGTTAGTACCCCATCCTCCCCTCACCCAGTGCTTTATGTTTCCTTGAAGGTTCTGGTGGGTCTTAATGGAAGGAGATGTAATTACTTATTCCTATGGGAGTGATGATGTGAATGAGATCATTTGTCTAAAACCTTTTGTATTTTCTCACTGTTCTACACAATAAAGTTAGAGAAATGACTTCACTTGGTTTCAACCAAACTGTTAGGGGATCATTTCAGTATAGGAGGTCTGGTAGCATAGTGCCTATGGCATTTGACTGCTAATCAGAAGGCTGGTGGTTCAAACCTACCAGCCAGTTCTCGGAAGGTAGGCTGAGCAATCTATTTTGGTAGTGATACCACCTCGGAAATCCAAGAAGGGGTAGCTGTGAGTTGGATCTGATTTGACGGCAGTGAGTTTAGAGTGAGTAAGTCTGTGGGACAGGACATAGTCTGTGAAGAAGTGATGTTATTAGTGAAGGGGTTAAATCTGATGGCTGTTCCCTAGAGTAGACCATGGTGGAACACAGAACATTATGTCAAATGCCTGTGAATTCTAAGTTCTGCAGGATTTTCAGCCTCACTCTTAATTCTTACACACATTGGAGTCCACGGTACCTTGCTGATCACAATGTGTGGGATGTTTTAGGCCTCAGTGGTCATTGAGGATGTGGCCATGGTCTTTACCCAGGAAGAGTGGGCTTTCCTGGATCTTAATCAAAGGAAACTCTACAGAGATGTCATGATGGAAACCTTGAGAAACCTGGCTTCAGTAGGTAAGAATAGAACTATTTTTTATGATTATTTATTCCTTTAGTATTCACAAATGTTTTACTCATTAACTTTGTTCCAGTATTTGGTCTGAGGAATGAGATTAAGTTGTTAACTAAGATGGTCATGGTTCCTTGGTCTATGGAGATCACATATCCTAGCTTCTTCACAAACTTAAAGTACTATATATTAAAAAGATAATCCTCTTGTGATTAAAAGTCCTGACTCTCTTTAGTTACTCGTGTAAGCATTGGATTCAGCAGTCAGTTGGGGCCTGGTGAGATTGTTTTGGGACCTTGTAGAGAGTTGTTCTGTGTTCATTACAAGTTTGGCATGATTATTTGCTGTGAATAAACTTACAGCTGTCCATCTTCACAGAATCTGAAGGTCAAGTCACACTGTTTGCTCAATGAAAGGGAAATGTTCAGTATTTTTCACTTTCTTCCCTCATGATCACACATTTCTCCATGGGCCCCAGGTCAGCTGTACACATTTTTTATCCCAGAGAAGCCAGGGAAAAATCTGAGAAAAGTTGAGATAGGACACATTGAGGGCCACTGTGTCAGTAGGCATCAGAAAAGGAAGAAGTTTTCAGAGTAACAGCTCTCCATGGAGGGATTTTCATTACAGGCAGTTAGCTAGAAGTATGTTCCTGGGTGAGGACTCACATTCACAGATACTTGAGATTACTTTTCAGGTTCAGGCATCTTTTCTCACCTGTGGTAATGCTGACCATTTTTGTCCTATACTATTAATGTGTATTGCATCCAATATCTTTCTAATTGCACCACATTTATGTCTCCATTACTCTCAGTCCACACGGGCGTATTTCCTATTCAATGTCTTTTTAACTGTTTTTGAAACAGTGAAATGTGGGTAACTCTTCTCTTCACAGCAGCTTTTTTCCCCCCTAATTCCTTTTGTTTTTGTTTCATGTTGTGAACCTCCATTTGAATTATCGGTTCAGTCACTTTTGAAGATGGAGGAAAGTTGTGCGCTGATCATATATTGTTGCCATTCATGAAGAATAACAATTGGTCCTCCTTGTTTGGAGAAATCGCCAAGTCACATGGCAATAAATACCGGCATAAAATCCATGGGACAAGTTTGAGGTGAGTGTTATTCAAGCAAGAGAAAACAATGCCTCTGGAAAAAGTCATAAGGTGTCATGACGTGGAGATGGACATATGAGTATTTATATGTGCATAACTGGACTTTGAACCAGTTCTAACAGTATGGTGATTACTGACCTAAACAAGGGCAGTATATGTGTTGCATTGCAACCAAATCTGGTAGTAGTTGGATTATGACTCCCAGCAGCTACCCCAGTAGGGAAAAATCACTTGTCTCTCAGTTTGTTGTACTATGGTGGCTTGCATGTTATTTTGAGGCCAGAGGCTAAAGCACTGGTATTTCAAATACCAGCAAGATCACCCATGGTGGACAGGTTTCAGCAGTTTCCAGACTAATACAGACATGGAAGAAAGGAGAGCATATCCATTTCTCAAAGAACTGTCCAGTGAAAGTCTTGTGAATAAGAGTGAAACACTGTGTGATATGTTACTGGAAAACTTAATGAATAGCCTGGAAACAATACCTGCTTTTGTGGTTGAAGATGAGTCCCTCAGGTCAGAAGACACTCCAAATAAGACTGGGGAAGTACTGCCTCCACCAAGTAGAAAATATATTCCAAACTCACTGTCATCAAGTCAGTTCCATCCCATAGTGAATCCCACTGGGTTTCTGAGATGGTAAATCTTTATGGAAGTATATTGCCCCATCTTCTTTCCTTGGAGCAGCTGGTGGGTTTGAACTGCCAACTTTCTCATTAGTAGTCAGATGGCTTAGGCGTTGAGCCAAGTAGAGTCAACCTTAATCACGTGGCTTGAGGAAAGCTTTAAGGACATTCATATAGATGGGGCGTGACTTAAAATGGGAAGGAATAGCTGCAGATATTCGTTAATAATGAGAACATGGAATGTACAGCATACTTATATAGAAAAAGTAGGAAATTGTCAAAAATGAGATGGAGCACATGAACATTTATATCCTAGGCATCAGTGAGCTGAAATGGATTGGTATTGGCCATTTTGAATCAGGCAATCGTATGATCTACCATACTGAGAATGACAAATACAACATGAATGGCATCTCATTCATCATCACAAAGAATATTTCAAGTTCTCTGCTGAAATACAATGCTGTCAGTAGAAGGATAATACCCATGTGCCTACATGGAAGACCATTTAATACTACTTTTGAAATTTTTACACCAATCACTAAAGCCAAAGCTGAAGAAATTGAAGATTTTTACAACTTCTGCAGTTTGAGATTGACCAAACATGCGATCATGATAAATTGATGGTTACTCGTGTTTGGAATGCAAAAGTTGCAAATAAAGAATCACCGGTAGTTGGAAAATGTGGCCTTGGGGATGGAAGTGATGCTGGAGATCATGTGATAGAATTTTGCAAGATCGACTGTGAATATCTTTTTTGAGCAGCAAAAACAGTGGCTGTACCCATGGACCTTGACAGATGGAAGATGGAGGATTTGGATTGAGTACATCTGTGTAAAGAGGTGATGGAGATGCTAAATATCCTCAGCTAAAACAGGACCAGATGCTGATTGTGGAACATGGAGTATGTGGAATATAAGGCATATGAGTATTATCCTATTACAACATTGTACTTCAGGAGAGATTTTGAAATATTCTTTGTGACGATGATTGCGATCATCAATTGCTGATATACAAGTTCAAGCTGAAAGTCAAGAAGATTAAAAACAAGACCATAAGAAGCACAATATGAATTTCATTATATCTCACCTGCCTTTAGTGACCATCTGAAGAATTGATTGATGCATTGAACGCTAATGACAGACACCTAATTAGTAGTGGTATGATATTAAGAACCAGACTGATTATAAGATGACATCAAGAACATCATTCATGGAGAAAGTAAAAGGTCACTAAAAAGACAGGAAAGGAAGAAAAGACCTAAATGGATGTAAGGCAACACTGAAACTTGTTCTTAAATGGAGAGTAGCTAAAGCAGATAGAAGAAATGACAACATATAAGAGCTGAACAGAAGATTTCAAAGAATATCTTGAAAAGACAAAGTCAATTATTACAATGAAGTGTGCAGAGATCTAGAGTTAGAAAACCAAAAGGGAAGAACACATTTGGCGTTTTTCAAGCTGAAAGAAGTGAAATAGATCAAGACTTGAGTTGCAATATTGAAGGATTTCATGGACAACTTATTGAATATTGCAGGAAGCATGAAAAGAAGATTGAATCACGGTATGAAAGAAATTGGTCGATGATGAACTATTTCAGGAGGTAGCATATGATCAAGAACCAAGGGTATTGAAGGAAGAAGTCAAAGCTGCACTGCGGGAATTGGCAAAAAAGAAGACTCCAGGAATTGACAGGATACTCATTGAGATTTTTCAAAAAATGGGTGCTGTACTGGAGGCACTCACTGCCTATGCCAAGAAATTTGGAAGACAGCTACCTGGCCAACTCACTAGAAGAGATCCATATTTATTCCAAAGAAAGGTGATCCCACAAAATATGGAAATTATCAAACAGTATCATTCATATCGCAAGTAAGTACAATCTTAAAAAAAAAAAAAAAAAGTCTTAGGCAGATGGCTTCTGAGGCTTACAAACTTAAGGTTGACAAATAAATTGGCACAGTCCCATGATTACCAAACAACATGGAAGACCACTAGTTCAAGTCCAGAGACAGTCCCAAGATTGGCAGGAAACATGGCAGGCTGCTGAATGAAGACCCAGGTACATGCAGGGTCCAAGTGTGCAGGAACGCTCAGAGACCTTTCTCAGAACTTCTCCTTATATACTGGAAGTAGACCACATCCCTAAGGCAGCTACTCACCTATGCCAGTAGATTCCATCATGGAGTTGATGGCCATCCTCATTATGGTACATTCTGCTGTCTATCCACTCAACACCAGGCCCAGGCAAGTTGAGACACAACTTAACTACCATACTGCCCCTAACTGAAGTCATGGTGTTGAAAAAAAAAAAACAGTGTAGCTCCACTCAAAGATGCTGCTAATCAGGCTGCTTTCAATAAGTGAAACTCTCCACAGTGTTTGCAACAATCCAGTTGCCACATGGATCCTGAAAACTTCAGGAGCCTTGTGTGGGAGTATGGATTAGTGGCAGAACCATGAAGGGTGATGCACATTCAAAGCGGCCCACTTGGCTGTGGTCTTTGAGGGTACAATGCTGTTTCTTTCCTACTCAGTTCAAATTCTCATCCCCAGTTGATTTGGTTGCTCTGCATCAGGTAGCCTGCTCAGGTTTAAATTCCTGAACTGTGTTAAACCACTTTAAAACCTTTATATGTACTGATGTGTACATCTATGTAGGAGCTCTGGTGGTGTAGTGCCTAATGCATTTGACTGCTAATCAGAAAGCTGGCAGTTCAAACCCACCAGCTATTCCTTGGAAGGAAAGTTGGGCAGTCTACTTCCGTAATAATACCACCTCGGAAACCCAAGGAAGGGTTGCTGTGAGTTGGATCTGTCTACACAGCAGTGTGTTTGGTTTTTGTTTTTGTACATATATATGCTTCTATGTATAAAACTAGTTATGAATTATATATTCAGAAAATTTTTATAATACAAGTTTTTCATCACTATAAGTTGAATAATGAATATTTTCAACATACTTTTTTTGACCTGAAGAAAGGGAAGCCTATTTTAGAAAAATATTGACCATATAGTCATATTTCTTCTAGATAAATTCACTTATGAAACAGATAAATCAGGGTAAACACCATGCACATTTGCTGGGTTTGGTATTTATGGAATGAAAAGAAATTCATTTCCAGAAACATATTTCCTATCTTCACAGAAGTCAGAAAGTAAAGAAGTTGTTTGAAAGTAATGAAGACAGTCAGTGTGGGAAAACCTTCAGTCGTGTTCCAGATCTTTCTGTGGCACACAGGAACCCTCCGGCGGTCAATCCTTTTCAGTCCTGCATGTGGGGAACAGCCTTTATTGATGAGTCATCACCTGAGTGTCACTCCAGATTGCACCCCACAGGTAGGGCCTGTCAGTGTTTGGAATGTGGAGAAGCCTGCCATTGTCCCTCACACCAGTCCACTCCTGTGAGAACTCTTAAAGGAAACAAGACCCACAAATGTAATGTATGCAGGAAGGACTTTTGTATGTCAGCCCTTAAGGTTCCTGTGACAACACCCCCTGGTGAGAAATGTTATGAATGTAAGAAATGTGGGAAGGATTTCTGTAGTTTCTCATCCTTTTGTACACATGTGAGAAGTCATAAACATGAATGTGAAGAATGTTCTAAAATCAGTAGTCATCCAGCATCTCTGATGTTTCATCCAAAATTTAACAAGACAGATAAGCTTTATGAATGTAAGGAATGTGGGAAAGCATTTAGTCACCCCTCAAACCTCTCTAGACATGAAAGAATTCACAGTGGTGAGAGGCCCTATGAATGTAAGGAATGTGGGAAAGGGTTTAGCCAGGCCTCATACCTCTCTATACATAGACGAATTCACAGTGGAGAGCGGCCTTATGAATGTAAGGAATGTGGGAAAGCATTTAGTCAGCCCTCAAACCTCTCTGTACATAGAAAAATTCACATTGGAGAGAGACCCTATGAATGTAAGGAATGTGGGAAAGCATTTAGTCAGTCCTCAATCCTGTCTATGCATAAAAAAATTCACAGGGGAGAGAGGCCCTATGAATGTAAGGATTGTGGGAAAGCATTCATTTATCCCTCAAGCCTAACTAAACATAGAAGGACTCACAGTAGCAAGAGGGCTTATGAATGTAAGAAGTGTGGCAAAGCCTTCATAAGTTCCTCATGTCTTACTACGCATATAAGAACACACAATGGAGAGAGGACCTATGAATGTAAGGAATGTCGGAAATCCTTTGGTTGTGCCAGTTACCTCTCATTACACGTAAGAAGAGCACATAGTTCAGAAAAGCCTTACGAATGTAAGGAATGTGGGAAAGCCTTTAGTTATTCCTCATCCCTCACTGTACATATGCGAACTCACAGTGGAGAGCGGCCCTATGAGTGTAAGGAATGTGGGAAAGCCTTTACACAGGCCTCACACCTCACATCACATATGGGAACTCACAGTGGAGCGAGGCCTTATGTATGTAAGGTATGTCAGAAAGCTTATAGGCAGGCCTCAAACCTTAGCACACATATGCGAACTCACAGTGGAGAGAAGCATTATGAATGTAAGGAATGTGGGAAATCGTTTCCACAGGCCTCACACCTCACTGTACATATGCGAGGTCACAGTGGAGAGAGGCCTTATGAAGGTAAGGTATGTGGGAAGGCTTTACAAAGGCCTCACACCTCACATCACATACAGGAACTCAGAGTGGAGATGCCATATGTATGTAACTACTGGGAAATCCTTTAAGAGTTCATCACAGGTCACTGGACATGAGAACTCATAAGTGCAGAGGCCTTGTTAATGTTAGTGAGAAAGCTTTCAGTTCTTCCTCAATCCTCACTACAAAAAAGAATTCCCAGTGGAATACCTTCTTAGGAAGGTAAGCATGTCGGAAAGCCTGGAGTTGTTCCTCACCCCTTACTTAATATATAAGAACTCACAGTGGAGAGACCTCTCTGTGACAAAAGTGGCCTGCTTGCTCTTGACTGTTAAAATTTCATACACCATGTTTCTGAAAATCTCCACTTAAAGAACAAAATTTCTCAGTGAGTATGAAGGCAATATTAACCCACAGAAAGGGTCGTTAATACTGGTTTTTGCCTTTGGGAGAAATGAGTGTTTAACTGTAGGACTGCCCTCATCAGTGCTTTTCACTTTCTCAGTTCAAGCTAAATTTTGTCTTCCTGCCAAGTCTCTGGCTAGCCCAAACCAGGCTACACGGACTACCCTTGAGTAACTGTGCTGTTATATTTTTTTCATGATTTTACTGATACTATTTTGCATAGAGTTGAATATATAATCTTGATTTCTATTGAGTATTTTCTCTTATTTCTCAAATTTAGCACATTTTCTTCCATACTTTCCTACTGAAAAATTGGAAATTTGAACTCATTAGTTTCTCATAGGGTGATATTTTGATATTGCACAAGTAGTCTCTTTACTTTGTACTTAGGCTTGCTAATTTTCACAGCCATTGATAATTATTACGTACAATTGAGTCTATTCTGACTCATAGTGACCCCCTTTGGGTTTCCGAGGGGGCAAATCTTCATGGAAGTAGATTGCTTGGTCTTCCTTTGGCAGAGTGACTGAGTGGTGAGTGAGTTTGAACCACCAACCTTTTGGTTAGTGCTCAGATGCCTTAGGCGCTAAGCCACCAGAGCTCCTTTACAATTATTCGGTGGTTTTCAACAAGGAGCTCTGGTGATGTACTGTTTAAGGCATTTGACTGCTAACCCAAAGTTTCATTATTAGAACCCACCAGCCTCTTTGCAAAACAAAGATGAGGGAGTCGGCTTCTATAAAGATTGACAACCATGGAAACGTACTGTGGGTCGCCATGAATCACAATCGGTTTGGTGGCAGTCATGTTTTTTTGTTTGTTTGTCTTGTTTTCGTATTTGGTGTACTTTCCCACAGGGTGTTAGGAATTCCAGTCAGTTCTATGCTTATTCATTGGAATTCTGCAAAAGATAGCTTTCCTTTCTCTCCTTTTTATGTTTTTATGCAATTGTTTATAACAGAGTCAGTCACCAGATTTTGAAGTATTTCACGTTCTCAGTCTTCATTTAAGACTAATTTGTACCTAAGTTAAAAAGTTCATGTGTGTGTCTAATGTCAGTCCAGTGTCTGACTTAGTATATATTACATAGAATGCCTTTCCTTGTGTTAAACAACACTTTCCAGGATGCTATCATCCACTCACACTATGGTGTTTTCTTTTTGTCTTAAATTTTTATTGTGAGCTGGGTGAAAGATTACATAGCAAATTTATTTTCATACAGCAGTTAATACACATTTTGTTTCATGACATCGACTGTAGTTCCCTACAATTTAACAGCTCTCTTCCCACTTCCTCCCTGTAGTTACCTCTTCCCTCTGTCCTTTCCAGTGCATTCCTGCCCTCTGAGCTACCTCCTTGTGCAGACACTGCCGTTCTCTTCTCCCATAATTGACCATTCTAAGGAGAATATCTACCTTGTATAAATGTTTTTCCCATATGCCTATTATTTGGTTGAAAGCCATGGAAATGAGTTCAATTCCAGTCCATTTATTCTTCTTTTCTGTTCTTGTGTATATTGTTATAGATTTGGTAACTATGAGCTACTTCAAGTGGGTTCCTGTGGGTTTTTTTTTTTTTTTTTTTGTATATATCTCCATTAAAATTTATACATTTTCAAGCAGTGTCCAATGTTTTCAAGAAACTCTGCTTCCTTTCATTAGAGAATGATGTTTATGAATGAAGGCATGCACATTAGGCATTCTTATTGCTCCTGGAAGTGCTGGAGGCACAGTGGTTAAGTGCTCTGCTATTCATGAAAAGAGCAACAGTTCAAATCCAGCCAGCTCTTCCATCTCTCAGTTGGCCTTGATGGGCCGAGTGGATTTTTCTCAGTGAGGTGCAGTCCTATGGCTACTAAGTTCTCCTGGGTCCTCTTCCTGTTGTTCATCCACCAATAGGAACATCTGTACTGTTGCCCTACCTATATTCCTTCCCACTATGCACGCTGCATGTGTCCTGCCCTCTGCCCATCGGTTCCTCCAGGCCAGTCCACTCCCTTGTCGTTTGGCTATATTTTCCTGGGGTTCCTGATTCATACCTGTGATGTTCTCCTGCATTCCTCTCGATTCCATCACTTTCCACTCTTTGTCTACCTTATCACTCCTTCTAGGCCTCTCTCAGTATGAGCCCTGGGCCTTTTGAAAATTCTGAAGAAAGGTACTGCTGCCTGTGGTCATCTCAAAATACTCTCATCGGCCTTATCAGTGAGTGTGGTGTGGACGGTCTGTGAATTCCCACCTTTCTGCAGTCCCTGCTTCAACTCTCCCCACTATTAGTGCTTGGCCTATTTCTCCAATCCTTCATTTTGTGTCCAAATGTTCGTGATCCCTCGTCCTCCTGTGTTCTGGTTATAAACCAACAGAGAGATTCTAAAAGACATGAAAAGGTGAGGGGAAGAAAGGTCATTTTGTTTTTTCTTTGTTTCTCTTTTTTTTTTTTT